CGCCACTGCGAGCTCAAAAAGGTCTGTGGATTTCAAGTTTTCTGGCGACTCCGGCTGTTGTTTCCGTCGATCGAGGTATGAAACTTTATCTAATTTTCGTGCTCAAGCTGTTTATGTATGTGGTTAGGATAGATTTTGGAGTTTTGGAAATTAATCAATACATCCTAGTTTGACCAACGGCTTTGGCAATGTTCCGGATTGCTCTGGCCACTTTTTGGTCGGGGTCCAAGACCAAAAATTACTCCCCTTGTTAGTCTGAATATGTTGGTATAGGTATTGTAGGGACTTTTTCGATTTTATTGTAGTTTGATTTAATTTTCGGTTTATGCACTATTGGTTTTGAGTCGACTATAATTTGCTGTTAGGTAGCAATGTTATTACCTTATATTGCAACTTTACAGACATGCATTAGAAATATGATTTCATAGGAAACAAGTAGTGTTATTACCTTATGCTGGAACTTTACAGTGGTAGACATGCATTAGAAATAAGATTTTATATGAAACTAGCATTGTTATTATCCTATACTGGAACTTTACAAGGGGTAAACATGTATTAGAAATATGATTTCATAGGAATCTAGCAGTGTTATTACCCTATACTGAAACTTTACAAGGGGTAGACATGCATGAGAAATAGGATTTCAGAGGAATCTAGCAGTGTTATTACCCTATATTGGAATTTTACAAGGGTTAGACATGCATTAGAAATAGGATTTCAGAGGAATCTAGCAGTATTATTACCTTATAATGGAACTTTACAAGGGGTAGACATGCATTAAAAATAGGATTTCAGAAGAATCTAGTAGTGTTATTACCCTATATTGGAACTTTACAATGGTAGACATGCATTAGAAATAGGATTTCATAGGAAACAAGCAGTGTTATTACCCTGTACTGAAACTTTATAGTAGTAGACATGCATTCAAAATAGGATTTCATTGGAAACAAGCAGTGTTATTACCCTATACTGAAACTTTATGGTGGTAGACAGGCATTCCAAATAGGATTTTAGAGGAAATAATCAGTGTTATTACCCTCTACTAGAACTTTACAGCCATTAATCAAGATGAAAGTAAACTAGCAGTGTTAAGAATGAGTATATGACTAAATATCTCTTTCTTTTTTGAGTTGCTGAAAAC